TTTGATTTTCCGATTTCGAATCTTTGTTTGTCTTTAATCTTTTGTTGGATATAATTTATTTTCCTTTTCATTTCATATTCTTTTTAATTTATGTCCTCATTTTATCACATTCTGGTAACTTTTCTCAGTATTGGTTTTTGCATTGCTTTGTTCCATGGTAATTCCGTATTTAATTTTTTTTCTTTTACTATCTTCTCAAGTGGTTTTTCCTTAATTAGCTGAGATGCACGTATCAGGTTTTTGCCTTCGTAATAGCGTTTTTGTATCGTTTTTCTGTTTAAATTGACACTATCAAGACAAATTTTCGGTCGCTTCATGCTGTAAGTTTTTCACTTTCATGTGCATTATTGCTTTACCTTTTCGGTCGATATTCTTTATTAGTTCGGTCATTATTTCCTTACAACTTGGTGATTTTTCTGAGTATTCGTCTGTCTGTGTGACTTTTCATCGCTTTTCCATTGGGGTTTCTTTATATTTCCGTGCACAAATGAGTTGGCCTTTTTACCTATTTTTTCATAACATGACAAACCCTGCTCAAATGTTTCTTGGCTATTAACCCTAAAATGGCAAGTTCAGTTTTTTTTGTATAAAATAATTGAAACTTTTATTACAGTTTTTCGCTGAACTCATAAACCTTCCATACGGAATACGAATGTCCTTTAGACGCTCAAATTCTCGGGTCATAAATTTCATGTCCGCCTTTTACCGCAGACTGATTATTTAAAAGCTGATGAAACTCGGTTTCTTTGGTGCAAAGAGCCATTTGGAGTAAATGTCGATGAAATCCATCCGTTTTTTTGTCTTGGGAATAATAGTTGGTCTCTCAGGTCTTTTATGGAAGGGTTTCATTACAAGAACGTTAAAGTTAACACTTTGCAATACTCAAGAGTAGTTTGAAGACGAAAACTCGCCGTTAAGAGATTCTAAGGTTTCTAATGGTGGAAAATGTTCAAAAACCAAGGAAGTTGAGGACCTCAAAAGAGCGGCGTTTTATTTCAATTCAACGTAGTTAATCAGCGACAAATAAGAGTGTTTGCAAAGAAAAGTGCTGAAACGCAGACCCTTCAGGGGGGTTATTTGGGGGCAATATTTAATGAAAAGCGGCAAAGAGAGCCGGGTGTTCTCAACAGTAAAGACGCTGATCTGTGCAAATATCTCCTTGAAACTGATCGGAAATAACGCGAAATGCTTCACTCTCCTTCCAATGTCTGTCGCATCAATGCTTTAATCTAAATGGAATTTCAATGGCAAAATGCAGGATAGGAAAGTGGCTGCTGGTCCGTTACCCGAGGATTTATCCAAGAAGAATCTGCTGTCGCTGATCACTCCGGTTATTTTCGATACGGCCGGCTGGTTTTGGAACTTTGGCGATGTCACTCAACAACCCCCAGATGCGGCGAAAATTGGTGATTCTGTTTCAGTCAAATTTGTAAGTCAATTTTGTGAATTTCGGAGGAAAATTTCAACTTAGAATGCGCGTTGGTAGATCGCAGGACATCCGAGAAACGACCTAATGAGCGAGAAGACTTTCCTGACAGTGGAAAAGCAGAATGGTGCCAATAATTGGACTGTGATGGCAACTGATGCCAATTTTGAAACAAAGTGAGTATGAAAAAAGGCCTTTGATAACAATGGGTGAAACTCGTGAGTTTTTGACGCACTTTGTTTGAAACTGGCGAGAGAACACAGCCGTCGCACAGAAGAAATCGTTCATTAAATCCCCCGAATTTTTTTTAATCTCCTTTTAGTCTTTTATTCCAGACAGGAACTCGAATTGAAGGCGTTAGGCTCAATTACTCAATCGGCATTTTGGCCAGTTGATTAACCCACATCACTGATCATTCCCCAAATAAAAGTGCTTTTACGCCTATTTTTTCAATTCTTCAGGTCCCACTCAAGTGATTCATTGGGTTTTTCTTCAAGAAAATTTCACATGCTAGTTTTTGACTGCTTTCGACCTCAGGAGTTTCCCAACTGTGCAAATGTGTGGGGCATTTTCGGCAGAGAAAATTCACATGGGTTTTCTTCTTTCCTTCAGCATCCCAAGTCAGCAGTGTCTGTTTTTTCCGGCAGTTATCTTTGTGATTATTTTTCTCTTAAAATTTCCTTTCGAACTATTTCACTACAAGCTTTACAAAATGTGAAAATTCCCTTAATGCATAGAGCTGAAATGTGTCTGCATAACGAGGGTGGGCTGTTTGAAAACTTCCTATAAAAATATTAGTCCCGGAGTTAATGACAATATCGCTTAAAAAATTGTGAAAAATTGCACTCCATTTAGCTGCAATTTTGACCCCATCCTATCCTGTATACTGTCTTCATACCATCCTAAAAACTGTTCAGCAACTAGTTGATTGCAGATATTGGCTCAAAGGCTCAGAGCGCGCTATGAAATATGCAAAAATCGGCTTTTTTCCGCTTTAGCTGTAAACGATGGGCAAACAATTGCAGTCGTACAAAAATGCGCTTAAATTCCAGACGAAAGCGCAACCTGAGACCGTTCATTGTCTATAAAAGTGGGGTTTTGTCTGGCAGAAATTAGCTTCCAAACTGTTGCTTGCGGAAAATCGCTCACTAAGCAATGAGCGCAAATTGAGAATTTATTGGTCAATTCTCAATGTGAGCACAAAATCACTTGCAGTACCTATTAAGAGCCAGTTATCTAGAAAATGCTGCCGCATGAAACTCGGCATTTTCCAGTTCAGATTGCATCGTTTTCGTACATTTGCCCGCACCCAATGGCCACTCTTAAGAAAATTGCAAAACTCTGTTTCATCCAAAGAAAACTGGTTTTAAGTGCGTATGATGAAATCAAATTTGCTCAACTGTTCGCGTTTCTCACACCATACAAAGCAAGCAACTTCGAAAAAAGCAGCGTCATGTTCAAGTGCATTTTGCAACTCAAAAAAACCACGCAAATCTAAAACTTCTTGAATTCAAGCAACATTTCCTTATCGATGGTTCACTTTCTAAAAAGGCCATTTATTTCTCTCTAGAATGATGTACAAATAAGCGTTCTTGCTCATTTTGCCTTCGAGAAATGAGCAAAAATGGGACGGAAAACATGGAATTTTGGCATAATCTTGCACCTAAGTGTCTGATATTC